CATCAGGCTACACTTGATCCCATTATCCAGATCACTTATGAAGATATTGAATGGCGTTGGGCCCAATATCAATCCCTGGGGGACCCCACTTGTGACGGGTTGCCAGTTTGAAAAAGAGCCATTTGCCACCACCCTTTGGGTGCAGCCCGTCAGCCAATTCCTCACCTACTGAACAGACCACTTGTCCAGGCCATAATGCATCAGATTCTCCAGGAGGAGGCTGTGGGGCACTGTATCGAAGGCCTTGGAGAAGTCCAAGTAGACAATGTCAACTGTTTCTAACAACTGAAGATCCTGCTCCTGACAACGTTTCTAATACTGAAGCTCCTGCTACCTCACTTTGCATACTGTTGTCCAGTAAGGAGCTTTCAAACAGTAATAATTTTAAATAACTGTTTAGACCAATGATCTAAAGGTTAAAGTGTTCTCATGCATTATGTATCCCTGCATCATTTGATCTCCCAGACAGTCCTTTTTGATTTATCACACAGCATCTTTGGTATGGAATTTGCTCAAAGAATATAAATGTCACAAAACGGTATTTATACACAAACTTCTAAGGTCCTGCTTACACCTATCTACCTGGAAATTTTGAAGCCAGGTTAATTCAAAGCTGTCCTTGGCTGATATTAAAATTCTGTTGAAACAGACAGTTCGAGAGCACTGTGAATTTCAATAACAGATGCAAAGCTCACTTTACCATACGAGCCTCCCCAAAGTGAGAGACTTTTAACAATTTCATCTGGCAAAGTTTATTGCGTTTGAAACCACACAACAAACTGAATTTTCTTAGCATGAGATAAAATGAGCTAAGGGTATGGAATCTAGATATTCTCTTTGTAAATAATGGGTGCTGCGTTTTATTCATATATATGCATATCTGTATATTCTGACTTGTAAATGTATAGGAATACAAAACTGTATTGTCTGGTGCGCCTTCTTTCTCTTTGCTCTCTGTATGTATCCCCATAAAACTCATTTTAATATTCTAAAACTTGTGCCTATGTGTCAAATGTAAAATTGATACAGTGGGTAGAATTTTTATTATTTCAAAAACTCCTTGCTTGTTTTTGGTGTGAGCTGGGATCCAAGTTCAAGACTCAGCTTAAATGAAGAATGATGCTTTTCTATTGGATTTCATATTATAAAAATATTTTGCATAAATAATAGAAGTAAAAACATGTTTGTTTGACCTTTGGATGTTTCTATCTATGTGCTCAGCAATCTTATCTCATGCCCTTGCCATAATTTGAAATGTGACATATAATCCAGAAACTATGATGGCTTGTGATAATGCTAAACTTTCCATTCCCCAAGGTTTTATATTCTGGTAGCAAAATGTGATTTGTTGTCAAAGAAACTGAGGATAGACACTATTAATATCTTAAAACCAAAATAAATCTTACACCATTGCTGTGTCTATAAATTTAGTAGAACCTACTTTGTTTCAATCAGCTAAAATTAGTCCAGAGCTACCCAAAACTCACAGATTCTTTATCAGTGAGGCATTTACAACATGATTTACTGGGCTGATTTTGCTTAGTTCTCACCTAGGTTTTCACAGTCTCAAGCATGATTCGGGTAGGCATTTCACATTCAGGCTTAAGGCACAGATATAGGACTCAGGCTGAGCTGGGGACTTCTGTGCTTAAGTACAGAGGCTAATGGTAATTTTTCTTTCACTTCTCTGCCTTCTGGTCCATAGTCACTTTGGCAGCTGGTTGTCATTACAGATACCTGCACAGTATTTCTTGTCACAATTTATACATCCATTTCAGTAAAAATAGAGGAAAAATAGTACATTGTCAATACAGCATTCAGTAGAAAAATTGCAGAGCTTTGCAAAAAATGTTTTTGAGCATTGCAAGCTTTTTTTTCCTTTTACTTGTTTTTTGCCTTTTAATAAAAAAATTGCACTAAAGTAATCTGAGATCCTATCACAGGATGAGTGGGAAACAAAAATTTGTCCTTGAGTCCAGGTAAAAAGGACACTGTATATTGTGCTGGAAGAAGACTACGGGTTTTGAGGAATTTTTTAAAGGTAGTAAAATACCTGAGAACAGGTGCATGTACATGTGGCTCTGAAAAGGACAGATTTGTGTTAGAAATCTAAATGCGGGTTAGAAACTCTTAAAGAACTAATTCCATATTGTAGACTATGTCATAGTCTGGATGCAGTTCTTCTGAAGTTAGTGACTCCCAAGGCCTCAGTCATGGTCATACAGAAAGACTAATTAACCTATAGTTAGTAAGGGCTAAACCAAGGTTAGTGAGTCAACACCTTTTGCAGTTGGACATCTTTGCAGCTGACTACTGTGATGAATGGCTAAGCATGGGGTTTGTCTCTGGAGCTTTTTCAAAGCATCTGCTAGCTACAGAACTGCTGTTGAAGAGTCTGGAGAGGTTACTGGATCATGCCAGACACATGCTTCTATTGGGATGTGGCAGAGCTGACAGGAAACAGAAGTATTTTCCCCATAGCTGTTAGATGTCCAAGGTACACACAAAGTCCACATTTCCCACTTCCTATCAGCATTACTTTAATCTTCATTATTGGGTTGTGTTTTTTCAGCAACTTTTTTTTCTTTTTTTTTTTTTTTTTGTTTCTGGCTAGTGGATATTTAAGAAATACAATTAGTATTAGTATTCATTGCAGAAGAAGGTCGAGGCCCAGGCTATAATCTGCCTTCTGGGTCTTCCACGGACTTTCTGACAGTTTGAATGGGGAGGGTTATTCCTGTGACTCACTGCAGTTTCTATCAAACGCTACAAATCAGAGGTGGGCATTCCTTCATAAACAGAAAGTAGTCAAAAGTAATCCACAGATACTTCTTTCTCTCCAGAGTGCCATTTGTGGGAAGTAATTTTACTATAAGGCGTAATTTTACTATAAGGCATAATTTCAGTCATCCCCTGCCATTTCAAACACTGTGTACCATTGCAAAATATCACTGTAACTATAAAAAGAAAGATTACCTTATGGTTATCTTGTTTTTAGAGCAGGTTCTCTCTTGAGGCTTATTTGAGTGAGAGCTTTATTTTTCTTCCCAAGCCATTGAGGAGTTTTATTTTTTCTTTCAGAAGGCTTGCAGTTCATAACAAATGATTAAAAGCATCAGTCCAAAGTGGGAATGAAAAGACTTCTGTTCCTCAGGAATAAAAAGAAATTATATGAATTACTAGCAGCCAAATAACTGACACCCCACAGATTTTGTTCTAGGACTGGTTTTATTGTTTCAGGATATTTCACACTAAGTAACTCCCATTATATTCATTATTACTAAATCAATCTAAGATATGATGCTTTGTATGAATTAAAAAGGCTGCTTCCATTAAGGTTACATCTGAAGTTTGTATGAGAGTCTGTTTTCCCTTACTCAGAAGGAAAATAGCAGTGGAGGACGCCCAAGGGAGCAGTGGTGTGAAAACATATTTTCAAAATTCATGGTCAGAACTTTGCAGCAAAATTTCTTTTCTTCCCCCGCCCCCCGCCTTTTTGTCTTTTTTGAGCACAAGATTTTTCATGAGAGCAGTACTGCTGTGTAAAAGACCATGTTTCCTTCACTGTTTTCTAGGTTTCTTATTATTTATTTTTCTAGGTTTAGTATCTTTTCTGCTTCATACTTTTCTTCAAAAATTTCTTCATTGTCTCCTCCCTCACTCCGATCTCCAACCTAACTGGGACCAGAAAAAGGAAGAGATGAGGAAAAGCATATTGAGAGGCATGGGAATGTCACTTTTGCAAAGCTGAATATGAAGAGCTGAGGAAATCTTTGTTACAAAATACTACTGGCTCTGCTGATGTTATTTTTCACTATTTTTTATACTACCAAATGAAATTAATGAATTATTTGGGTACACTTTGACTTTCTGTTTTGTATGTTTGTTTCCAAAGATTCTTCTGCGACATGGAGAAATGATGTTGCATACAATTAAATCAAGTTTCTCTCTGCAGGCATCACCACAGTATTAACCATGACAACTTTGAGTACCATCGCGAGAAAGTCATTACCCCGTGTCTCCTATGTTACCGCTATGGATTTGTTTGTGACTGTATGCTTTCTATTTGTCTTTGCTGCTCTGATGGAGTATGCAACTCTCAACTACTACTCAAGTTGCAGGAAACCAAACTGTACTAAGAAGAAAAAGTCGGTAAGATGGGAGTATTTAATTTCTTTTCTAGCATGTGCCTGGCTCAGAGAGCAGAGAATCATTCACTAACAGCCTGTAATCCCATGATACTCTGCTCCTCTGAGCTCTTCCCAGTTTGTGGTGTGATCTGCCCTGAAAGCTGATGCAAAATAGTTATCCCTCAGTAACAGCAGAAGCAGTTATGTGCCTGTTGAGTGAGGTGTGCTCCTAACAGAAGCAGCCTGCTGACCATGAAGCAGCAAGCCTTTCTATGTCTTTCATCCTCCAGTTACTGTGCTGGTAGTCATAAAGGACTCCCACTGAAACAGATTGCATAGATTGTTATACAAATGTATGGACATCGATGTTTATTCAAAGGCATCTGCTATTTTATGGCTTAACAGGTCTAGAAATATTTATGAACTTTACAAACAGGGTTTCAATGTCTCCACTGGGAACCAGCACTTGGTTTTAGCTCTATGCACAAAGGGGCTTTTTCCTAAGTACAAAAACAGAGGAGGTCACTTAGAAAGGTTTTATACATGGCTGCATTTTTGGCCAAAAAGACAATTCCAGAAGTAACACTCAGACACACACAAAAGCTGTTTACTTAGAATCAATTAAAACAGTCATGCAGGAAGAATTGCCTGGTGTACTTTATAATTGTCTATAAGAATGAGAGGGGACAGTATAATGGAGAAAAAAATCTCAGTGTAAACAAAGGGAAGGAGAAGTGGGTTGTTCACTCAAGAGCAGTGGAAAATTTTATGTGTTTAAGATCGATAGTTGGAGATGTTGGATGCCATTTTGTGCAATGGAGGAAGTAAGGACATTTGAAACCAGAAATACAAAGCCAAATAAGAAAAATGTGAAGGAGAAAATTGAAGAGAGAGAAGGCTAAATTCAGGGAATAATAGGTCACAAGGTAAAAAGGGATTGAATGAAGAACTGTAGAAAATGATTGAATGAAGAAATAATCAAGGAAAAGCTGAAACGAGTATGGAATTAGAGAAAACCTAGAAAGCCATAGACTTAGTCAATGAAAACTCCATTAAACCTCTAATAGCTTTTTGTAAAAATGCATTGCACACAAAAGGCAAAAGAGTGTTACCAAAAGAAATGTATGAGACAATCAAAATGAACTTGCTAATGATCAAACTAAAATTGCCATCCTATAGAAAGACTGAATGAAGAAGTCATGAGTATCTTTGTGAGTAGGATATATTTCCAGACATGTGTATGAATATAAGGGAAGGCATGCAACATTGATGAGATTTAAGTTAACACAAGAACAAATGCTCGCTTAGCTATTATTTGCTAAAAAAATAAATGTAATGGGTTGAATAAAGATTTACAGTGGATGGAAACTAGGTGTGCATTCTGCTGAGGTTTAATGCAGTTTTAAAGTGTACAGAACATTATGCTGAATATCTAGAATACTCAGCATAAAGTGTTTTACAGAAAAATGCATTTAAAGGTTGGTTTAAGAAATGCTATTGAACATTAGATGCATATGAAGCAATAAGTATGTTTTCTTCTGAATAATTCTTTTGTTATCTTTATTTAAGCTACCTGATGTCAGTTTTGGTCATGTGATGGTAAGTAAACTATTTTATTCAGTGAGAGCAATGGAGGCGTGAATGTATGGTTGACATTTACTTGCAATAATTCTCAAGAAAGCTGTAATGCTATGTTATGCTTTACCCTGACTTCACTATAAATATTGTTTTGCTTTTTTGTTAAAAGGTCAGTTTGGTTTTGGCTGTGGCAGAGGAACATAGATGCCTCTTTCTATAAGGACTTATCAAATGATTTGGGAGGGAGAAGGGTCAAGTGTAGAATATTGTGTGTTATTTTTACCTCAGAAATTTTGTGTGTCTTCTTTCTATAATACTGCCGTTTCTCATTACATTTTATAAAAAAGTAATAATCACAAGTTATGTCATAAACTTATACGGAGTTTTAACTGAGTTTCATAGAAAATAATTCATTTATGCATATCTGTAAAATCTTTAGCAAGCTTTCAGGTGGATTTTCAAACAATTCAGGCACACAAGTTTAACACAACTCGTTGTACTATATCTACAAATGGAATAAATTATATTCCCCAAACCTCTAGATAACTATTTATATATGTACAGTGGTAATAAAGTTGAAACTGAGCACAAAATTGTATCTCTAAATTGTATGAAATCTGAAACTGGAATGCGTACTATAATATATATAAATATAAAGCATGCAGAGGGCCAGCTAATCAGCTGGTTGGATGGCCTGCTTCCCAGCTACCAGATCCAAATAAGAACAGGGACAGAACTAAACCATTGCTTTTACATTTCTTGGTTTGGATATGCTGAAGTTTATAATTTACAACTGCTAGCTCCATGTTACTAGCTTACCTTTTACAAATAATGTTATACACTTCCTTTTTTTTTTTTTTAACATGAGTTTTCTGAGCTCATATGGCATTGAAAGTCTGCTCATTTTTTAACATGAGTTTTCTGAGCTCATATGGCATTGAAAGTCTGCTCATTGACAATGAATGGTTTACAGCAAGCATTGCATTTATGCACTCGCTACTGCTGTCACTCCTCGGACAGACTTTTCTGAAAGATGAAGTTAACAAGGCACAATGAATGGGTAACGGCACTTTCCTTTTTCCAATTAAAAAAAAAAAGGAAAAAGGTACACAATTAAAATGACAATAGGGTTTAACACTCATAGTCTTTGTCTAGATCTAGTCAGTCTGATCATCTGCTTAGAAAGTATCTGCAGCCTTTTCAAGTTTTTACTCAGTCTTTTCTTTTTTAATTATAAGACAGATATGGAGCAGGGCCTTGTTCTATACATAAACAACTCCCATGTTCAAATTGTAGCATAAACTCAACAAAATAAGCAGTGTCTCTGACTCTCAAGATATCATTTTGTCTTTTCCAGCCTTGTAGTGATGCCACCTAAAAGGTGAATTTTATTAATCTTAGTAAATCCATGTTGAGGTGATCCCACCCTTTGTTTTTCCTCCTAGAGAACACACTTATACCTTGTCTGAAATAATTTTATTAAACGTGTTTAACACTGCATCTGAACTGCCTTGTCCAAGGCACCTGTGAAGTGCCTTGCCTTGCCAGAGCTCTCAGGTGGTACTGGGCTGGCGCCCACTGTGTGTGCACCCCTCTCCTCCCAACACCAGCTCAGCAGGACGCACAGGACACAGTGGGTACCATCCACCTTTATATGGTATCTAGTCACTTCAGGACCCCTCCTAGCTAACAGAGACTAAAGCAACCAGATTAATCTCTCTGTATTATCAGGGCATTTCTTTTATCTTCTGTCCTGAGCAGATAGTTGATACAACAAAACAACAAGAAAAAAAATTCAGGCTATTGATGCATGAGAAAGTTTCCTTTGCAGAACCAGGGCACTTATTTCTGTTCACGTACCAAAATCATCTGGAGAGATCTAAATCAGCTTTTTTTCTTCTTAACATAAATATTGTAGCCAGGCATAGGAATTTTTCATAAAAGTCTGCAAGAAATGAACAATATGTGATACGGTGGTATAGCAGAATTCCATGTATACTTTAGTCATAGCTTTTTTTCTCTCCAAAGTGCTACAGTCAAGAAATGATTGTTTGTACAATAATCTTAGACCTTTTCCATGTGGCAGCACATTGTAAAGCTCTGATGCCAGCCACCTGAAACTTTACAAATGAGAGAGAAGACCATGCAAGCATAACTTGTGTCATCTAATCTCAGAGATAAAGTCATTCACAACAAATAGACTTGCAATAATCTGCTTCTAAACTGCAATCTGTTTACAGTCCACAGCACAATGCACCTGAGAGACTTTAGCCATCTACTTATGATGAGATGAATTGTGTCCTAGAAGTAATTGGCTGGATACCATAGGGCACTTGTTCAGATGTAGTTACCTATGTTGGAGATGCCAACATCTGAGCAGAGGGATGCCACATAAAGATCTTAGCTCAGGGACCAGCAATTTAATGAGATGTGTAATATTATGTGCCAAATCAAAGGATTTGTAGAAAGAAAACAAAGTCAATATAAAAAGGAAAATTTCCCATAAGGCACAGCAGTAATATCACTGATCTGTTTCACATACAGAGTGAAAATTTTCAGATACGCCCCAACACCTTCAGCA